TGTGTGTGTGTGTGTGTGTGTGTGTGTGTGTGTGTGTGTGTGTGTGTGTGTGTGTGTGTGTCAGTTCCAACAGATGAAGGACCTGCAGGACAGAGACAGCGAGCAGCTGCATGCAGCATTTCTGGCCTACATGGATCTTACTGAGGGTGAGTTGGACAGAAAACCTGTAGTTTTCACTCAACTTTTTATCTCAGCACATCCTGAACACTGTACATCATATTAATAAGTATTATAAGTATTAAAATTGTTAGAGTCAACATTGTCTGTTAGCAAAATATTTCATGGACCACTGGATGTTTTTAGTGATAATCTGGAAATGTAGTCATTGGATGCACATCTATAACTAATAAAAACAATCAAATTAAAACATTTATTTTGATTCCTAGTGTGTAAAACAAGTTAAAGTTTCTTTTTCACACAAATAAACCTCATGTCAGATCAGTTAAAGCAGACACGTGACGGGAACATGAATAGAAGAGCCCTGCAGGCTGGTTCAGCCTCTGTCTCTGTGCTCCGCAGTGCGCCGGTGGACTGACGTGTCCTGCGTCAGGAGTCCAGAGCTGCAGCTGGTTCTGTTGGAAGCGAAGGAAAAGGACGGTGCACCTGCTCACACTGTCCTGCCCCTGCCCTCACACCGCTCTCTGAGCCACAGAAGGTGATGATCCTCTCGGACCGCCATCATCCGTCCCTCCTGACGTTTCGTTAACTCTGACTTCCCTCCTCTCTGCTGTGCAGCGTTCGCCACGCGCTGGACAGGGGGCTTCCTGTACTGCTGTGCGCCGTGGCGTCCGACTCCACCCTGGTCTATCAGAGGATGACAGACGGGTTGGTGACACCAGACCCCCCCGCGGGACCCTTTCAGGATGTGGGACGTCGTCAGCACCGGAAGAGACGGCAGAAATGCTGAGCGAAGAACCGATGAAGCTCACAGGAGCTAAAAGGATGTGGCTGGGGGCTCGCTACTCCGTCAGTCTGAAGTGACGGCTTAAAGCAGCAAAGAGACGAGACGACAGCGTGGAGACTTGTTCTTTGTAGTTTAAACACAGACAACATGGAGACTTGTTCTTTGTAGTTTAAACACAGACAGCATGGAGACTTGTTCTTTGTAGTTTAAACACAGACAGCATGGAGACTCGTTCTTTGTTTGTAGTTTAAACACAGACAGCATGGAGACTTGTTCTTTGTTTGTAGTTTAAACACAGACAGCATGGAGACTTGTTCTTTGTTTGTAGTTTAAACACAGACAGCATGGAGACTTGTTCTTTGTTTGTAGTTTAAACACAGACATCATGGAGACTTGTTCTTTGTTTGTAGTTTTTATCACAGACAACATGGAGACTTGTTCTTTGTTTGTAGTTTAAACACAGACGGCATGGAGACTTGTTCTTTGTTTGTAGTTTAAACAC